ATTGGGCTTTTCAAAAAGTATCAATATTGTGAAAAAATTGAAAATAAATATTGGGTATACAAAGTTTTTGAAGTGAATTTAAATATCAATAAAAAATTGAATGCCAATATTGAATTAATATTATATCACAATATTGTTTCGATAATATGAAATATAATATTTGGCCAATATTTCATAAATCAATATTGTAGTGAGAAGTGTTGGGCCAATATTCAAATTAATGAAAAGTTAATTAATCTATGAAAACAATATTGGTACAAGAATATTTTTTAAAATTGTTTCCACATAGTTAAAACTAACGTTGCCCCAATATTGGTTCTGTGTTGATTTAGCAACAAAAATGAATAAATATTGGCCCAACTGAAAAACGATGTTTACCCCATATTATGTGCTACTTGGGTCAGTGGTAATTTTACTTGGTGAACCATCGATGTTCCATTTACCGGGTATGCTACGGCAAATTTAGAAAAATTATCTATTATTGTTAGATATTACTGTCCTGATAATGAGTATAATATGTCCCTATAGGTAAATATGCTGAAGGGGTTTGGATCCTGTTGGTGTTGGTTTATAAGGATGTCTCTCATATTTGTGTTGATTTCTGACATATTTCACATGTAGGTATTTAAAAAATTAATTACGTCTCTTTCTAGGCTTGGCCAATAATATCTTTGCTTGATATTTTCGGTCATTCCTCTATATGAAGTTTTTATTGTATGGTATCTATCTATTATCCCTTTCTGATCATCTTGGTGTGTTATATCTTCTAGTGAAGTGTAGTGTTTAAGATGACTAGTTTGTATAAATTGTTTTTGAATGTTTCCTGGAAAATTCTTATCACAGGTTCTAAATCTTTGTTAGGAAAATGTAGACAATAGGTATTTTGTGGTAAATAATCTCTTAAAAGTATTACCGGTGTGAAGTTAGCACACCGTTCTAGCACCCAAAACTATGAAGTTAGCACGCCGTTCCAGCACCCAAAACTGTGAAGTTAGCACCCATTTTCCGGCACGCCAAATATTATATTTCACTGATTAAGGTATAAAATATATTATTACAAGTGCGCCAAGTGGGGCATTTCAACGGGAGTACTAGTTTTTCAAATCTAGATGATATATCACGACCAGATTTGAAGGGATGTTTAATAAAGGGTTGCTTAATCACCCTTCAGAAGGAGATTCACTTAGCAGCCGTCCAAGATGGAAAAATCAACACTTATATGAAAAAATTTAATAAAAATCTGTGTTTTTTTCTAATTTCTCGGCACCTAGAAAATATATCACGACCAAATTTGAAGGAATACTTAATAAAGGGCTGCTTAATCACCCTTCAGAAGGAAATTGACTTAGCAGCCGTTCAAGATGGAAAAATCAACACTTATATGAAAAAATTAATTAAAAATCCGAGTTTTTATCTAATTTCTCGGCACCTAGATAATATATCACGACCAAAATTTGAAGGGATTCTTATAAACGGTTACCTACTCAATCACCCTTCAGAAGGAAATTGACTTAGCAGCCGATCAAGATGGAAAAATCAACATTTATATAAAAAAATTATTTAATAATCCGTATTTTTTTCTAATTTCTCGGCACCTAGATGATGTATCACGACCAAATTTGAAGGAATGCTTAATAAAAGGTTGCTTGATCACCCTTCAGAAGGAAATTCACTTAGCAGCCGTCCAAGATGGAAAAATCAACACTTATATGAAAAAATTAAATAAAAATCCATGTTTTTTTCTAATTTCTTGGCACCTAGATGATATATCACGACCATATTTAAAGGAATGCTTAATAAAGGGCTGCTTAATTCACCTTTCAGAAGGAAATTCACTTAGCAGCTGTTCAAGATGGAAAAATCAACACTTATCTACTAGATAAATATCCAAGGAGCTTGATAAATCGCAAAAAAATATCCGCAATGAGAATTTTACATTTTACGTGATAATTCCATCCCGATGACGATTTTGATAGACGTGAAGAGTTTGCATGCACAATGATGGTTATATATACGATCAAAATATAGAATTTTCAAATAATGTTATGTTTTGCGATTTCGCCACTTGTCTTATTGATCGACACGTAAATCGGCATAATTGTACTAATTGTAGGTATTGGGTCACGTAAAAATCCTCGTTGGATGCGTGAATCCCACGCCCAACAACCGAAAAGCTTAATGTATGGGATGGAATAATAGGCGATACAATAATAGTTGGACCGTTTTTCATTGAAGGAAACTTAAATGGCCCTTATAACAACATCTCGTCATAGTTCTACCAACTGCCAAAGGCTTGTATGAGAAAAAAGAAAGAAAAAAAATATGAATGAATTTGATAGACGTGAAGAGTTTGCAGACAACGATATTAAAGATTATTCGAATTAAACGAGTTTATTCAATCATAGCTATTTTAAGGTAGAGTCCGCGTCAGCAGTAAAGAGTACAGTGACGACACGGAAAGCTGCGCGAAGCGGGTCCGATCTCTCTCTCTCGTCTATCTCTCGCTGTCTGCCGTGACCTCGGCTGAAACCAGCAGCGGGGAATTTTTTTAGACAAAACTTGGATAGAAAATAAACTAAATAAATATGCCTGCTGGTCGTACGACAATGAACCACGTGCTTGGCGTTCGGCAGCAGCATCGAACAATACGATAGTTCGGTTAATCTTCAAAATTGGGTTTGTGCGCATTAGACGTCGCCGTACTCTTTACTCTTGACGCGGACTCTACCTATCGTTTTATAGTTTATCTTCTACACTGTTACAGCAGATGCTCAAAATATTGTCCGTTGTCCGTTTACTTCAATACAAGCCATGCGATTTCTAAAACTGCAATACATTTAGCAACGCCTCTAGTATACCCAATTCTTCTAATCTCTGTGGTAATCCTATCTCTTAACCGGTCAATATTGGCAGGTTTTTGTTTTATAAACGATATTTTTTATGTGACCTTATAGGAAATAAAGGGTCCATGTCGGGTGATCGCGGGGGCCATTCGATGAAATTACGTCTTCCAATCCATCTTCCGGGAATTCGGGAACCAGATTATTTAAAAAATGCTTCACCTACCGCTCATAGTGATGAGGTGGCATTTTGTTGCAGCCATATTCTTGTTCAGGATATTGTTATTGTCTGAAAGTTTCGAAAAAAAAAGACTAAATTAAAACGCAACATTTACAGGATAGCCTATATCCTCATAGTCATAACTCATAAGGCCTGTGTGTAACAAATCCCCCCCTTCTCCCCACGACAAATCACCAATCGTGTTTAGGCAGCATGTTATTTACTCGCCTTGACGTTTAAAGCTGGTCGTCCATTGGATGCGTAGTCGTACAACTTTGCGGTCGTGCGTAGTCGTCCGAATACGTCCGACTAATCCCCTTACATAGAAATAAATAGAACGCTCATCCACTACACGCGACCAACGACTGGTCCCATTTGAATGGGATTTGTCGGACGTTTTCGAACGACTTTGTCAGTATTCGCAATTTAGCCAGACCGAAAACTATTGTTATATTTTTTAATTGACTATTTCCTGAGTACAAAAATATGTTTTAAATTTTTCTCTTATGGTATATGCAGAAGTAACTCCTATTTTCGCCAACTGAGGCAAATCTGTTGTCTGATTTGTTTGATTGATAAGACATTAATATCTCCTGCTCTCCTCTATCGATTATTATATTATGCAAAAGGCATATGCATTTAACAATTTTATCAGCGAAGTCAGGATTTACATCAATCGCCTTTTGTAATAATCTCCATTTATTAGTTATGATTCCAAATGCACATTCTATTACTTGCCGAGCTTTGGAAAGACGCTCATTGAAAATGGTTTCTGAAGGTCCAAGTTTTGTCACAGGGAAAGGCCTCATCAAATACGGTTTAAGTGGGTATGCTTCATCTCCTAGCAAAACGTGGGGCATTCTAATGTCGGTTCCCGGTAATTTCGCTAGATTCTGAACACCTAACGCTCCAACTTCAAGTTTTGAGGATAGATTGGAATTAGAGAAAATACCCCCATCACTTTCCTTGCCATATGCATCTACGTCTATAGCTATAAATCTGTAATCAGGTCCTGCGACAGCTTGTAAAACTATTGAAAAATATTGTTTGTAGTTTCTGAACATGCTTCCTGAATGTTTAGGGTTTTTTATTCGTATATGTTTTCCATCAATGCAGCCGACACAATTTGGAAATTTCCATTTGTCCCAAAATCCTTGCGTATTTCTTCATTTTTGGGAAAGGACATATGCAAGGTGCGCAAGTTGTCCCAAATTGCTTCACACGTTTCTCTAACAATTCTTCCGACGGTCACATCAGAGATTCTAAATGAATATCCCAACGTCCTAAATGAGCTGCCCGTTGCTAAGTACCTGTAAACCAAATACGTGAAGTTAGAATTGTTATGATAGACGTTTTCTTAAGCATGTGAATAGAAAAGAAAAAATAAAGATTTTTTTTTTTCAGTTGAAGACGTGGAAAAAAAGTGGAGGGGACTTCGAGATGTCTTCCGAAGGGAATATAAGAAATATAAAAAACACAAATCTGGAGAGGAAGCACAATCAGAGAGCTATTCTACATGGGCATATTTTAATATGATGTTTTTTCTATCTCACGCAATAGACTCGAGAGAGCTTCAGGGAAATGTATGTCCAGAATTAAATCCTACAGAGACGCTCGATTCTCTTCAAGAGGATGATAATACTGAAGTTATTCAAGTCAATTCGGAGTCAAATGAGATCAAGAATCTTTTCAGTTTTTCAAAAAATTAAAACGACCTAATAATCAGTTACAAAAGCCCTCCACGTCAAAACAACGTGCTGAAACTATGAATCCAAAATCTACACCCACCACATCAAAACTGTAACGACATTTTAATATCTACTACACATGGTCCAAATTCCGGTTATCACAAACGTAGAAAACAAGAGAGAAGTTCTACCGACAAGCAGTTTCTTGAGATAGAAAGATCTAAATTAGAGTTATATGCCAAAGGTAACAATATGAAGGATGATAGTGATTACCAATTTTTAATAAGCCTGCTACCCTATTTGAAGAAGGTCCCAGATCACCGCAAGATGGTAATCAGAAACAAGTTACAGCAAGTGTTTATTGATGAGGATGAGTTTCATCCCAAAGCTGCCCGCACCCCATCTACATTCACAATCACTTCATCACCATCAGCATCTTTAATAACATCCGATGAATCATCTCACCAACAGAAAATAGGGAATTATCCAAATTATACCCAAGAACAGTTTTCCTTTGCAATTTTTCCCGCTCAGAATCAGAATAGCTACAACGAAATAACCGAGGACATAATTCCAACAACTGAAACAGATAGTTCTTTCGTTAGGTAATAAAGGATTAAGAGATTTTTATTCTCATTATGACAGTGAAGATACAGATAATTGAATTATTTACAGTTTGTTTAGCTTCATCTTTAATGACTTTCATTTCGTAATAAAGTTTTTCTGCGATTGACAAGAAATGACAGCATTTTTGACTGGTTGACAGGTCGCAAAACTCAATATTCTGTTATTTTAATTATGTTTCAATAGTTGCTAAGGAATCAATGGATAACAATACGGGAAACACTTTTCCGGCCTAGGCCGGGAAAGTGATTCTCGTACTGCTGAATATTTGGAACCAAAAGACAAACATTTAACAGGTATTTAACCGATCGCAGAAAAAATAGTATGTGTATTTCGGTGGAAAAGCACATTCTCGGCCTTCAGTGTTTGCCGGCCTCGGCTACGCCTCGCCCGTCAAATTACACCGTCGGCCGAGAATGTGTCACTTTTCCACCTAAATACACAATATACTATTAGTTAAATTAAAAAATAATCAAATTCTTGTTTTTATTTACCTTAACGTTAACAGTTAGGCGTTCCTCAGGCGAAATAGTTTCTCTAAAATTTGACCATTTTGAAACTGATGGACGTATTGCATTCAAAATGTATTCAAATGTAGGTTGGCTCATTCTGTAGTAATTGGAAAATTTAGCGGGATCTATTTCTTTTCGATAATATTTCGCTAACCCAGTATCTACGTCTTTTATTTTTTCTGTGGCGTCTCAAGCAGAACGAGTTTTCCAAAAAATATACATCTCAAAGTCCATTTTAATCATTCTTGCTCACACTACAAAATAAAGAAATGAAGAATCTATTCTATTTATCGACTAGAAATAGTTTCTGATGGACGAGGTGCACACAGGAGGTGCAGTCGTTCATATTCGTACGATCAAAGTCGTCCGATTATTGACGACCGCAAAGTGGTATGACTACGCATCCAATGGACGGCCAGCCTAAGTTCAAACAGCTGACGACTTCGTTATGACGTCGGAAATAGTGACACTAATATGGCGGCGATTACCAAAAACGAGGCCGCATAAGTAATCCTTTAAGTGTGTATCATCCTTTACATTTACTTGGGTTTGGAAATAACCGAGCCCACTCAGGTATAAATAATACTATTTTGCAATAACCATTCCATCCGTTCCATATTCAAAACAGTAAAACACCCTGTATTATCTTGTTGTATTTTGTCAAATCATAGAATGAACGGCAACGTTGCTGAATGACGTTGACGTCAACCATCGTGACTGTCAAGTATGTCAAAATTTAGAAGTACCTATGTGATTATTTATTTGCAATCTTTATTTGTAAGTAGAGTAGCCATAGCTAAATTTTATTGAAAACAGTTTAAACTGCCTATATAAACAACATTTTGATCACTTCTATTATTTGGAGAAAATTTCTTGTGTGTGTCCAGTGCACTAATGAGCACATTTTAATGACAATGACAATCAGTGAGCACTAATCGAGGTAAAAGAAAACCCCTAATGGCGTCTTTGACAAGTGAAAACACGTTAACGTCAACATTTATTAATTTTCGTTCTTTTTCTTCAAGAAGTTTGATTCGTGTGATAGTTTGATAAGTTATAAGTTTTCTTCCGGACCTTCAAAACGAAATAGATAGGTTCAATATCATATTTGCAAGTTTTTGTTTCAGGAAGTGTTTTTAATAATTAGGGTAAGTAAATCATAAGTAAATTAAAGCACGTTAATTTTGTATTTTCTAAAATATCTACCTACCTGTTTACTGGTATTTTTCTATGTGGATATTGGATATTGGGAAAGTTCCTACTAACTCAATGCTACTAACTAACCTAATAGGTATAGTCTGATAATGGTGTTTTTTGCTTTTGCCTAAGAACATTTCTCTAACTGGCTTGGAGAAACAAAATGGGGAACTTTCGAGGGAACTTTGCAAGTGAAATGAAATTTTCCAAATTTGGTTTTCATCGATAATTTATACTGCACAATATTTATATAACCAGTTTTTGTTTAACTGATACCACCCCTGTTAGACAAAAAATAAACACTAAATTTGAAATAAAAAATTTCCCGCGAAAACAAGACTTCCATGATGGCCAAGGATAATACAGAATACACACTACTAGGGCCGGTTTCTCACTAGCAAGTCACTCCCCGGTTTTGGTAATCGCCGCTATATTGGTGTGTCTGTGTCACCATTTCTGACGTCATAAGTAAGGCGTTAGCTGTTTGCACTAGCGATCGTAGTTTAGAATTTAAATTTATGAAGAAAATTATTATTTAATTTTGATTAACAAAATAGGCAAAGAGGAAGATGAAAACGAGATCTGAAAAAGAATTTTTTTAGAATGTTAATTAATGTAGTAAATAGTATAGTATATTACCTAACTAGTGCGGAAAGTACCACTTTTCCGCAAGAGTTAGGAACACTTTTTTTTCTACGAGCTGAAAGATAATATTTTTACCTACATATTTATCAATTTAAGATATTTTTTTCATTTTTTCGTACCTGTACTTGTAAGTACCTAGTGTACCTAAAAATTTCAGGTATTCTACTTTTCCGCACTCAGTGCGGAAAAAAATCGGAAAAGCACTAGTGCGGAAAAGTGGAACTTTCATGACCTAAAATGCGACTTTTCCGCACGCTCATAGAAAATAGTTATTTTCTTAACAAGTGCGCAAACTGTTACTTTTCCGCACGCAAACAGGAACAACATTTTTTCTACGAGCTTCATATCAGGTAGGTAACAACAAAAATTAAAAAAATAAACGATTTGTTTGTTCAAGTATTTTCAATTACCTTGAAGCGAACCTATTCATTCATCAAAAAATTACATAACAAAAAACAGAAAATTGAAATCCTCGTCAGAGCTGTTCATCTAGCGTTTAAATTTGATGAGAAAGAAGTTTGTAGATTCTTGCATGTAAATGGAAAACACAAATCTGACAATATGTCAAAGTTAATCATATTCAGTGTTTGTGTTGATGTTGGCTGATATAGAAACAGAGAAAAAATTTGTTATCATGTGTCAAAGTCGACAGGTGCATTTATTGTTGCTTGACAATTATTTTTACTTTTCGGCACTCACTGCGGATACGGGCCTTATTCGCACTGAGTGCGGAAAAGTGTAACTTTGAGAACGGTAATGCGTGCGGAAAAGTACTACTTTGCGCACGCTCGTAGGAAAACCAAGTATGCATAAAGCAAAAGCCCGCGGAATCATAACCTGTGGTGCAAACAGCCTATGTCAAGGCGAGAAACGACATGCTGGCTACGTCACAACTGGTGATTTGGCGTGGTGGGGGGTTTCAGATTTGTTCCACACAGGCTTTATGAGGATAGGCTATCCTGTAGTAGTAGTGTGTATTATCCTCGCATGATGACTACCTTTTCTGACGTCACAATTCTGTAAACAAACCTGTCAATAGGGAGATTGCAAGTAAAACAAAATTTACACAAGCAGTCCTTTACAATATTTTTCATCCATTGTAACAATTTCCACAAAAAGCAAACTTTAACATACTAAAGTTTAGTGTGCACTGAGTGTATTCGTGTCTTTTTGTACTAAATTGTATAAGAAAGAGATAAAAATGCATTTTTTCTAGTCTGATTCTACCAATAGAATTCCCTATAAGAAAGCAATCTCGAAAGCAATGAAATATGATCATAACACATCTTGAACAGCTATATGGTACTTAGTAGAAAAACGCGTGAACTGCGGTGGCACTGACAGCCTGGCCCCACTTAATCAGTGTTGCCAGATGTACTGATTTATCAGTAGATTTAGCCACTGGTCTACTGATATACTGATATCAATGTAAATTCTACTGATAAAAGCCGTTGTCATATAGCGTTATGCTATATAACTTACTGCAGCCTGTTTTACCTGTTTTTATAAGATTAGACTTCTACTACTGCATAGGTTCCCATTTGAAAAAAGCTAAAAGCATGCCATGCAACATTTCACATTTCTGACATTCAATTTTCCTTTCATTTACTTGTAAAGGTGAAGGGTGTAGGTGGGGTGTCAATATATAAAAAAACATTCTGTACTTGAACCACAGCATATACAAAAACAATCAGCAGGCTAACTCTCACGCGCATCTTTTCTGCGCATGCCGCCATTATGGGATACCATACTGTCATTAAACGGCAGGGACGCCGAAATTTTATTTTATTTGTTTATTTCTGACAGAGGTCATAGGCGTGCGGTGTAGAGCAGAATTTTAGTTATGATTTTCAAAGTGATTTTAGTATATTCGTGTTGTCATTTATGGTGTTATCTGTTATCATTGTTGTATATTTAATAATAATAATAAATTACTAATTATAAATATTATTATATGTAAGTAATAATAAATTAATTTATTTAAAGAGAATACGACTCTGTGACACGGAAGAAAAAACCTAAATTATTGTTAATCAGGCCCTGTCTCGTATCCCAAAATGGCCGCTAGTGACATCCCGACCATGAATTCCTTTATTACACGGGCTGTCACTCAAGTTAGCCTGCTGATTGTTTTTGTATATGCTGTGCTTGAACAATAACTTATTACATAAAGTCAGAATTTGTAAGATTATCCACTTTTTGTCAATTCGCCTGTCAACAGGAATTAGTGATGTTACTTTTATTATTCAAGTACAAATTAGTGAATTTTTACGGAACTTATGGGTGGACCTCTGCGGGACGAGCGCAGCGAATTCGGCAGCCATCTATTCATCAAATGTTGTTTAATTACGATACTGACCTGACTCAGTCAAATGTGAGTTACTTATTCTCATTAGTTTAAAAAGTACACGTTTCAGGTGAATGTCTTACTTGAACAGTTTAGCAGTATATTGGTGAGTAGATGGCTGCGGAACTCGCTGCGCTCGTCCCGCAGAGGTCCACCCATAAGTTCCACATCAATTCACTTATTTGTACAGGGTGTTTTTTTATATATCGACACTCCACCTACCTCCTTTACCTCCAGGCAGAAAAAAAAGTGTAAATAAAAAAGTTGTACAGTTTTGGTTGAAT